GTGGCTGGAATATTGCTGCTGCTGCTCAGCCTCTGCCTCAGTGCCCGTTGCCTCCTCCCTGCACGGGCTGGTAAGGAGTGGGGCAGGAATGGGGTGTCCTCCTGCCCCTGCTGACCCCCACTGTCCTGTGCACCCCTTTGGGGCTTCTCCATCCCACTCTGCCATCCTCAGTTCCCCCCAAACTCAATGCCTCCCCATCCTCCACCTCCCCATCACTGCAGCCCAGTGCTGGGAGCACGTTCCTGTCCCTTCTTCAGGCCATCAGCCAACGGTCCTGGAGCCTCCGGGATTACAGGTGGGGGTCCTGGTGGGGCAGTGAGGTGGACAGTGGTGGACAATGGGAGGATGTGGGGATCAATGGGGGGCAATGGGGAGCAATGGGTGGCAATGAAGAGCAGTGGGTGGCAACGGGTGGCAATGGGGGCAATGGGTGGCAATGAAGGGATGTGGGGGATGATGGGGAGCAATGGGGTGTCAATGAGGGGTAATGGGTGGCAATGGGGGGATGTGGAAGACAGTGGGGTGGCAAAGGGGTGTCAGTGAGGGGCAATGGGTGGCAATGAGTGGTAGTGGGTGGCAGCTGGGGGGTGTGGGGATGATGGGGAGCAATGGGGTGGCAATGAGGGGCAATGGGTGGCAACGGGGTGTTGATGGGTGGATGGTGGGGGACTGCCGGGGGGGGACAATGAGGCTGTGGGTATGGTGGGGGGCGTTGGGGTCAGTGGAGGCGGTGCAGGGGACATCGTGGGGCCGGAGCCGCAGTGACGGCGTCGGTGCCACAGGGAGAGCTGCTGTACGCACACCTCACCCTATCCGGACCCCCACCGCCATGACACCACCAGACCCCAAACCCAACACCGTGCTGGCGTTTCCCCGCCCGCTTTACCTAAAGATGAACAAATAAAAGCCTTTAAGCTTCAAAAACAGCCCGGCCCACAGCGCGCTGCTCTTTTTCCGTCCCCGCACCGCCCCCCAAAACGTCCCCGACGACCCCACGCTTTGCGAGTCCTCCCACCGCCAAGGGGGCGCTGTTCGCTCCTCGCTCTCTTCCGGCCTACAACTCCCGTCGTGCCCCGCGCTCGCCCCGCCCCCTCCTTTCCCCTCCCCTCCCCTTCCCCCCCCCGCCGCCATGGGGGCCGCCGTCTTCTTCGGTTGTGCCGGGATCGCCTTCGGCCCCGCGCTCGCCCTCGTGCTGCTGACGGTGGCGGCGGAACCGCTGCGGGTCATTATCCTGGTGGCGGGGTGAGAGATGACCCTGGGGGGGGGGGCTTTAAGGCCCGTGGGGAGGCGCTTAGGGGGCTGCTGGGAGCCACGGGGGTCGTCTGGGAGACCGGGAGCCTTTAAGGGGGGGGGTTAAGACCTGCTGGGGGGGATTGGGCAGAGTGGGCCTTTAGGGCGCGTTGAGGTGGGTGTGGGAGAGCCGTTGGGGGGCTGGGGGGGTCGTGAGGGGGTCCGAGGTGCTGTCGGGTGGGGTTGGAGAGGGGCTGGGGGGTGTTGGTGGCTCTGGGGGTCTTTGGAGGGGCGTGGAGGGACGGGTGGGGACACAGCAGGGATGCAAAGCCTCCCCTCCGTGGGATACAGGAGCCTGGATTGGTTCCGACCTGCCCTGTTATCAGGCCTGGTGGTGTTACTGGGGCAGGTCTGGTGGCACAGCCCTTTAAGACCCCCCCCCAAGTTTCCTCCTCCCCCCATCTCCCAGGGGAGGTGTTGTCTGTCGGGGTGCTGCTGGTCCCCAGGTCACGGCTCCTGCCAGGGCTTTGCCACTGCCATGGCTTAATGCAGGGTTCTCTGTCTGGGAAGGAGGCAGGAGTGAGCCGTGCCTTTCTCCCTGTGCTCATCTGTCCAAGGACAGGCCCTCGATTGAGCCTTCCTGAGGTGCAGAACCGAACAGCTTTCCCTGCTTCCTAGGGCAGCAGCTGTCTGCAGAAAAGGTTGATGTGGCCCCGAGAGAGAAAGGAAGGTTTTTGGTCTCCCAGTCTGTTTGATTTTCAGCTGTGTGCTTCCTCAGGCAGATCGTCATGTCTCACATGGCAATGATCAAACAGCAAAAACTCTGCCACCAAAAACTTCCTGTGCTGACCTGGAGCCAAGACAAACCACAGCAGCAGCTGATGGCTCAGCGTGTCACAGCTGCACGATCCTTAACCTCCAGATCCTGAGTGCTGCCGGGGTTCCCTGTCTCAGCTCCCTGTTCTCTCTCTGCAGAGCGTTTTTCTGGCTGGTGTCGCTGCTCCTGGCCTCTCTCATCTGGTTCATTTCGGTCCATCTCAGCGACCAGGGCAATGCCAGACTTCAGTATGGCCTCCTTGTCTTTGGGGCCGCTGTCTCCGTCCTGCTGCAGGAGGCTTTCAGATTTGCCTACTTCAAGCTGCTCAAGTAAGGGCCCGTCGATGGGCAGCGCTCCCTGCTCCCTCACCCTGGGTCCTCTCAAGCTGTGTACTGAGTGACTTTCTGGTAGCTGTGGTCACTGCTGAGCTCTGATTTTTATCCACAAGTTTCTTCCTCCTTAGATCCCGCACTGGCGCTGTTCTCCTTCACTCCAAACTTGTTTATAACCACCACTTCCCGTCCTGTCTGACGCAGCTCCCTTTGCAGGGCAGATCCCCACGCAGGCCCCGTTTCTCCCCACCTCCTCACGCTTTCCCTTCTGCCCAAGCAGGAAAGCAGACGAAGGCCTGGCGACGATCAGCGAGGACGGCCGGTCGCCCATCTCTCTCAAGCAGATGGCGTACGGTGAGCACGGAACCAAGCAGGCATCAGGCGGGCGCAGCGCACAGCACGGCCCTGATGTCCTTGTCCCCCTCTGCAGTGTCAGGTCTGTCCTTTGGCATCATCAGTGGCGTGTTCTCAGTCATTAATATCCTGGCAGACTCCATCGGGCCGGGCATCGTCGGGATCCATGGGGACTCGCCATACTACTTCATCACCTCGGGTGAGGCTGGGGGCTGGCTTGGATCTGCCCCACCTCAGCAGGGAGGCGTGGGGGGCTCTGAGGGGTTCTGTGTCACTCTCTTCCCACAGCGTTCCTTACCATGGCTGTTGTTTTGCTCCACACCTTCTGGGGAGTGATTTTCTTCGACGCCTGCGAAAGACGCCGTTACTGGTGCTTGGGGCTGGTTGTTGTCAGTCACCTCGTTACGTCGGGGCTGGTGAGTTTGGTGCACTGGAGCAGACTGCCTCTGCACCACAAGCTGACCCCCAAGTAAAGCAGACGTCATCATCTGGGGGCAGCGAGGGGATTGCAGGGACCCCCACTGGGCTCTCAGGCTCCCTCTCTGCCACAGAGGCGTGGGGCAAATCCTGTCCCTTTTGTGCACCTCGTGGCCAGGGCAGCCTGTTCTGCTGTGCCTTGGGGACGTGGGATTTAAGCAGGGTTAGTGGAGGGCTGCAGGTCAGCTGGAGGATTATTTGCTAAGCCCTTGGTGGGAAACTTGCAGGCAGGAATTTTAGCCAGGCTTAACAGAGCGCTGCCATGTTGGGAGGCAGCTGCATAACAAGGGGGCTCCCCCTTCCACACACCCTGCAGCCATTTCACAAGGGCCTTGCAGGTGCCCGGTGTGGCTGGCAGGAGGTGACGTTCCTAACTGTTCTCTGTCTCTGCAGACGTTCCTGAACCCCTGGTACGTGGCCAGCCTGGTCCCCATTTACATCATCACCTTCTGTATGGGCATCTGGGCCTTCTTCACAGCTGGGGGCTCCTTCCACAACATCCTCAAGTGCCTCTCCTGTAAGAAGTGGGCAGAGCAGGGAGGGGGCACCCGATACGGGGGTGTCACTGTGGCCAAATGGGGTTGTTTGGGGTCTGATTTTTGTATGGAGCCGGGAGCTGGACTCGGTGATCCTTACGGGTCCTTTCCAGCTCGGAATCTTGTATGGCTCTGTGCCCTGTGGGCATTTTGGTGGGTCGGCCTCAGCTGCCAGAGTGCAGGGAGGTCTGTGGGCTTTGGGCATCTGCAGCATCAGCTGAGGGGATGCGGGAGGATGGGTGTCACCCGGACCTGCCTGTCTGTCCCCAAGCAGCAGCTGCATCTCCTGGCTTTTGGGGGACTTATATCAAGCCACAAGAAAGACCCCCCCCCCCCAAAAAAAAACCAGCCCTGCTCCCCCTGTTGTGAAACACTCACCCTCTTCTTCCTTTCTTTCCCCAGGCAAGCAGGAGGATGACAGCAGAGTGATGATGTACTCAGCACTGCAGGTGCCTTTTGAGGACTGAGCAGCGACGGCAGCCCTGCCTTCCTGTGCCGCCTCCATACCCAAGTGCCCTGTTTTTGGCAGCTGGGAGGTCTCAGTGCTGCCTTCACTTACGCTGAGGCTGTGGGGCTCCAAGCGGTGCCAGGGCAGCCTGGGGAAGCTTTGCTCCTCTGGAGCTCCTGGACGGCTCTGCTGAGCTCAGCTCAGCCCCATTGCAGCCCCACTGGGCAAAGCCTGTCGCCTGCCCTGACCTGGAGCTGCGGCACAAACTCTGCTCTCAGTCCCATCCCTTCCCTGCCACCCACTCTGGGCACCTTTTGGGGCAGTTTCTGCCTGGTGCCATGCTGTAGCCTCGTGGGCACCTCCTGGCCATGGCGCTCCCGTTAGCTTCGTTAATGACTTTCCATTAGTCTTTTACAGGGTCTCTCTGCAGGGTGAGCGCTGGGAGAAGATCCAGGTGCCCCTGGGGCTGCTGTGGTGCCCCCCAGGCATGGGAGAGGACCCCCCTCCCTCACCTTCCCCAGCGAGGGGCTCTGGGCTGTGACTCTGGGACCACCCCCCTCCCCAGTGCTCACTCCCATGCTCCCATTCCCCTTTGGTTTTTGGGATGATATCTGTTGTTTTGGGGCCACAGAGCCCCCCCCGTAACCAGCGAGGGATGGGGGCTGCTCTGCCCTCCCCAGCTGGCTGCTCTCCCATTCTGTTGTATTGTTTTCTTCCAAGTGTCTGGGAGCTGCTGTGTGATCGGGGGAGGGAACGAGTCTTAAATTATTTTTTTGATTCAGAGTAAAACCCTTTTAATAGTGATGAGCGTTCATGGCACCGAGATTTTATGGGATGGGATGAAGTGGGGGGGGGGGGGGGGAATGGGGTCAGTGCTCTGCAACCTGCTCTGCCAGCTGTGGGGTTGGGAAGGGGCTTTACTTCCAGCAGGGCTCCTTCTGTAGGGCTGAGCCCCACACGCTCTTCCTGGGGGGGTCCTTCCTGGCTCAGGGTCGGTGGCTCTCATCTGAAGCCACGCGCCGGGAGGAGGCCTTGAAAACGACGTCCTGCTCCTGTGTCCTCCGGGCGCTGCCTTACAGGAGAAAGGAATGGGTTGAGACCCTCCGTGAGGATTTGAGGGGGGGGTCCCAGTGCCCCCCAGCCCTGCCTTTTGGTAGTGAGGATTCCTCGGGGGGGAGAAGGGAGGCTCTCACTCACCGAAGCCGTTTGTTCACGAAGTGAACAGTGAGGAAGAGGCCGAGGCAGCCGAGGACGGTGCCGAAAACGATGGCGATGACTTCACCTGCGTGACCCCCCAGAGGGCTCAGGGCAGGCGGGGGGTCTCCCCACCCCCCCAGAGCTGCCGCAGATGTGCTTTACCTGTTGAATACCCCTGGGGACCTGCAAGAGAAGAGCCAGCGCTGAGCTCTGAGGGCCTTTGTGGGGTCCCCTGCATCCGTCCCAGAGTTCAGTTCTCACTGCTGGTGAAGGACGCCAGCACTGGACGCTGGTTGAGGTCCTGGGGGTCCCGAAAATTGTCCTCCAGGCGCTCAGCTGAGGGTTCATCAACCGCTGTGGCGTACAGGGAGCCCTGCAGCTGCTCCAGCTGCAACAGGAACGGGGCGGCTGCGACCTCCATCCTCACCCCGACAGCCCCAAAAGCCCCAAAGCTTTACCTGAGCAGCGCTGATGTAAACGGGCTGCTGGAAAACGGTCCAGAGCACGCTCTGCAAGCACGGTGGGGTGGTCAGGGACCCATTGTAGCGGTAGTAGCGGTCCAGGCGCTCGGGCAGCAGCTCCTGCACGCTGAAGGAGGGGATGGACGTTGTCTGCCCTGTGGGGGACAGCAGCGTGGGGTTCCCCCTGCCTGCACCCTCCCCTTCGTCTCCCATGCGCTGCCCTCTCGCTCGCGCGGCGTCTCACCGGCGTAGCGGACGCTGCCCAGATGGTTCAGGATGTTGGCGTAGGCGGCGTTGGGTTCATCGCCAACCTGGGGGAAGGAAGGGGATGAGGAGGGGCTCAAGGCCGTGCTGTCGGGATGGGGGGTGGCTGGGGGGTGTCCCGTCCCCCTCCCCGTACCTCCAGCAGGATGCCGAGCACGGCCAGCCCGGCCGCGTGGTGCTGAGCCTCACTGGCGTTGGCGTAGCGCTCCGCGTCGTAGTGCACCACGTGCATCTGCAGCACCGTGGGGCTGGGACCCCCCCCCGGCCGTGCCCTGTGCCCCACGCCTTCCCCCAGCCCCACACCCTGCCCCTGTCCTGGGCCCGTTCTGTATTGATTTCTGCAGCTGGATCTGTTCGTGCACCCGATTCCCTCGCCTGCACCCATCCCCACGCCCGGATCCGTGCTGCTTCTTGCACCCAAACCTATTCTTGCACCCATTTCCCATGCTTGCACTCATTCACATACCAATTCCCATGCCATTTCCCACAGCTTTCCCTTTCCCCTTTCACCTACCCGTTCCCTTGCTGATTCCTGCACCCACACCCATCCCTGTGCCCATTTCCCAGACCCATTCCTACATCTTTCCCATGCCGTTTCCCAGACCCCTAACCATTCCCATGTGGATCCCCGCATCCAGACCCATTCCTGTGTCCGTTTCCCTCACTTGGACACATTCCTGTACCTGTTCTTGTACCATTTCCCACACCCAGACCCATTCCTGTGCCAGTTCCCATACCTTTTCCCACACCTCTACCCATTCCTATACCTTTTCCCACACCCAAACCCATTCCCACTCCTGTTCCCATACAGTTTCCCACATCCATACCCATTCCTGAGCCCATTTCCCACACCCAAACCCATTCCAACACACCCCTTATACCTCTGCGGGTGCCCGGCGCCCATCCAGGAGATGCTCAGCCCCCTCGGGGTGACCACTGTGACCCCAATGGAAGTGGAGCTGTGTAGCAGCAAAGCTTCGGGGCAGCCCCTCCAGATGTAGGGTGGGTGGCAGTGCCAGCACCACTGCAGGGAACACCATGGCGGGGAGGGGGACTGAGCGGGGCTGTGACACAGAGACCCCCATCATCACCTCCCCCAGACCCCGATCTCACCGGTGTGGCCGTTGTTGGTGAGGCTGAAGGTGGGGACGAGGGGGTGGTCGTACCCCATGGGGCGGATGGGGGGCAGCGAGGGGTCGGGCAGCACCCGCTGCGTTGCGATGTCAATGGGGGATTGGGATCGGCCCCCGCATGCTGGGTGTCCCTCAGGCCAGTGGTGCTGCCCGTGGGGACCTGTGAGGT